TACATCATAAGGTTTGACCGGTATAAAATTATTAAGCAACTATTTCCAAAGATAGTTTTCTGGCATGAGTCATATGCGCGCGCGGGCGAGTGTATGTGTATAAAAATTTTATATAAACTTGGGATATTTAGCATGTTGCATACAAAAGATTTTCAGAGAGCCAAGATGTATGATTCAGAAAAGCTGTTATATTTGATAGGCCCAAAGTACTATATTAATATTTCGAAGTGAGAATTGGAAACCCTTAAAAACCCCCGCCTAATATTTACACATGTAAGCCATCCTGTTTTGCCTTTGCTGCTCGTGTTCTGTGCACACAGTTGGCAAGCGTTTACAAAAGTTAACGCGATTCGTTTCTTTGCTAAATAATTGTAGATACTATTTCGAAAGGAAACATGATACTGTGACCATTTTCTATTATCAGTTCGGTTATGTCGATATGAAGCATACGAGATTTAGTATCAAATCTCTCGATATCGAATGATGCGACGCCTGAACAGGCGGAGATCAAGACCAATATGGCGGTGTTTCTCGTTGGTAATGAGGTTAACCACACTTCACCTTTCTTTATTTTCTCTGGCATTATTATTATTATTATTATTATTATTATTATTATTATTATTATCACCACTATATTAGTTGAACTATATACTTAGTTCATGTCATGTTAACTGAAAAACACTTGTAAAAAAAAGAAGTCGAGGATTTACCATATTACAAAATTCATATAAAAATTTTCACTTGAAATTTTGAACTTTAGCGTGTCAACTCGCACTTTCCGATATTGTACAACCGTCAATAAATAGCAGATTCTTTAAAAAACATCTTTCGGTCTACAAACAATTATTTCGTCTTGAAGTTTTAACTTTAAAGGAAAAAAATTACAGCCTGATGATGAAGACACGGATCTTCGAAAGTACTTGCTTAACTTAAAATAATATACACTAGAAACATCTGACAACAGTTTTATAAATGAGGATCACATCATTCAATGGATTAACAGTATTTTAATGCATACATTATGTTTCTACAAGCGAAGTGATTTCGCCATTAATCGCATTAATATTGCTGATTGATTCTATGTATGATTATTTCTTTATATATTCTCCCATTTTCGATGTATGGGTGACTTTCAGTTCAGTTTTTGTGTTTATGTTTCGTATGAGACAACAATCCTGCACATAAAGGGTTGACCGTCATATGAGCTGAGATTTAGTGTTAATTCTCTCAGATGGTTGAGACAATTCTTTCCAAAGTTAGTTATACCTCAGTAGCAGATATTTCTTCAGTTTGCTCAGTTTTCAACAGCAAGTTCAAACTCCTCTATAGGCATGTTTGCAGTAATTAAATTGTATCTAAGTTTATATATATATAATATATAATATATTATATATATAATCGGCCTGACGATCGCGTCCAGCATGAAACAGCCTGTCGCCTCTGAGTGTTGACTTCAATCTTCACTTTTATATATATATATGTATATATATATATATATATATATATATATATATATATATATATATTCTATCAAAGGACAGTTTGGAGTTTCACGCTCACGTGATCTTCAGACGACTAGAACGTTCTAGTAACGACTCGGGCAGTCCTTAGACAGAAGTTAACGTTGTGAAGCGTTTTTTGGTCGGTCTAGATAATTTCGTCGTTGAGCACTTTTCTTTACTTGTTATGTAGATATTTGCCTTTAGGTCTTTTACTTTTTTCTTTCCTTGATCGAGATTTTCTTTTGATTATGGTGTTAGGTCTTTTGGCAAATTGACTGTTGGTTTCTCTATACTATATATATATATATATATATAAATATATATATATATATATATATATATATATTTCACAACGCTATGTAGACTCTTAGCATCAGATAGTTTTGATCAAATGATATGAACAAGTTAATTGGAGAATGTGCTGCATACGATTCGACTAACCTCTACTGGTAAGACATTGGCTGGTCATTAATAGCTGAATCATATGACATGACCTCTGCCGTTATACACACACACACACACACACACATATATATATATATATATATATATATATATATATATATATATATATATATATATATATATATAACCACCCACTCGTGTATATATACAGGGTACGGTGAATGAATTGTCGTCCGTAAATTACAAAACAATTAATATAACATTGACATCTTATTTTAACAGATATATTTACCAAAATTATACCTAAATATCTTAAAATACTAAAGAGTAAACTTTTTCAATGAAATCGCTATTGGCTTCAACCACAACCTCCAGATGACTTCGGAATCTCCTGCAACTCTTCTGGATGGTCTCCTCGTTTAAGTTGGTGAATGATGTCATAATCTCTGCCTTCAGTTCATCTTTGATGTTACAAGGAATTTTGTTGGTCTCTCGGTCAACTGCGCCCCACACATAATAATCAAGGGGGTTGCAGTTTTGGGAGTTAGGTATCCAGATGTAAGAGTTGATATGCTTACAGAAATCGTCTGAGAGCCATGACTGAGTTCTTCCACTCGTTTGGAACGGTGCAGAGCCATGTTGGTAGACATAGGATCTTCCAGCAGCCACCCTGTTGACCCAAAGCATCACTACCTTCTCAAGGCACTTGATGTAGGCCTCCATGTTGAGTCTTAGGTCCTGTAACATGCCGTTTCTAAATCTTTGGAGGAGTGAACTGCGTCATGGTGCTCTTTTTCTCACGGACGATGCCCAACTGACCTTACTATACTGTGCAATAGACAAAATCAAAAACAAATAACGCGCATGTGCGAAATTAAAAATATAAAATGGCGACAATTTACTCATCGCACCCTGTACAATGGGCATTCAAAAGCTTCGTGGCAAAATAGAATTAAAAGAATATGTTTTTAATTATGTAAGCTTTATTTCTCTCTATAAGATTCATCAACATAAAGGTACCTTTTCAAATGATGATCCCAACCATTTATGCAATCCCAAAATAACTGAAAGGTCCTGAGAATTTAACCATGTCAGGCTTTTTTATGTCATTAATCTTTCAAAATATTACCGATACATAAGTGATATCTTATGATGTTAAATGTCTACCCAGCTTTTATAAATGTAATGTCTTATCCACCTGAAAACCATATTCCGTTTGATATTTCACGTCACCTGGCCACAAGTAAACTAACTGCTGTTCACTCTGCTTTACCAGATCTGACTGTACAACAGGACATTTCCATAACATCAATATATGGTGGTGCCACCTACCATTACTTCTACATACTGTTATCCCATGGCTTTTAACACAGCAATGTATATATGTATATATTATACCTAGAGAAAGGCGGATAGATAAGTAGCTATGTGGGCGTGAGATTTCTTCTTCACCAACAGTTGAGAAATGGCCTACTAATACTCGAACACTGATCGCTGTTAAATTCACGGAAGATATTCAAAATTTCAGCTGCTATTTAACCTATATATTTAACCCTAGAACACTAACCATCAATTAAAGTTACACCACTACTAACCATGGGTATATCATACCCGATTTTGAAAATATCAAAAATATATCAAATATAAATCTTTATTTGAAATATTTTACATGTAGGCACTTCAAACTTTGTACTTTGAGTCAACATTAATAGGAACTGAAAAATATATTATTTAGGTAAGAAAATCAGGTACTGAAAATTGTAATTAAAAATAGGAAAATTTGCGCTGGGTACTATATACCCATGGTTAGTGTTCTAAGATTAAACGTGTTTAGGATCAACGTTTTTCAATCTCAGCTGATTGCATATAACACACAGAAAAAGAACTTTACTTTCAAATTTCAGGAATAAAGAAACTGCTAAAGGTAAGCCAATGTTTTCCTAAGATCTTTGGTCTAAAATCTGTTTAGAAATCAAAGTCCAAGAAAGCCTTTACTGTTTTGTATTAAACTATATTAACATCATTTTTAATTCTGCAAAAGATAGAGAGAGAGAGAGAAATAGAAAGATAGGAAAATGAAAAGTTTGAGATCGATCGATCGATAGATAAATAAATAAATAGTAATAAAAATAATGGTGGATTAGAAATATCAATATATTGGTTAAAAATGCTTTTTTTATGTTTTCCGTACGAAAATAATGTTCACAACTATAGAATTCGAAAGGTTCCAACGAGATATGAGCATTTCTAAAAATATGTAATTCATCATCGTTTTGCTGTGATAACTTCCCGTGGCCTAATAGTACACCTGGCTTCAAAGTGGTTTCCCAGAGTAAAAACGCGATCTCTAGGCCGATAGACAATGATTTTCCTGTTTAAAAAATCTGAGTTTCCAGTCATACACGGAACCACTAAAAATAACGTTTATCGTAATACGAAATAGATATATACGCAAAAGCAATGATCAAATGATATTTTCAAACTCAAGGATTGGCGTAACACAATCCCCCTCTTTTTAAGGTATATGATATATTTATATTGTTATATCTTTTAACGCTATTTTGTGTTTTTACAGTTCTTCTGTGATAAAAGCTTTTTTTTTTTTTAAAATAACTGTTTGTTAATGAGCATCCTCAGCCGAATATCGCTACTCTAGATGTGTTTTTAAAACCATCAGCTATAAATCAACTGACGATTCAAATTTACTCAATAAATATAAAAGCAATTTTCGCAGTCGCACAAATTGATTGTAAATCAAGTTGATAAGGACTAATAACAATGAAATATGAAAAGAAATGTGAACTGAATAAAAAAAAATGGATATTATTTGAAATCATTTTAGAAAAGCTTCCAGGCAAATTCTCTTTTGAAATAAAGACACTAATCTCACTTTTTTTCTCTTTCTTTTTTTAAAACTCTTTCTTTTAATTCTTCTTAGAATGAACTACTTTCTTATTCTTTTATTGATTAAATTCTTTTTGATCTTTAAACGTATTTATTTTCTTTCATTCACTCCTTCTTTTTCTCTTTAAATCTATTTCGTTTTCTTTGTTTTCTCTCTTGTTTCTTTCTTTCTTCATCTTCTTTTCACAGCAAAACTTCTTTATTTCTTCTTTTCTTTATCTCTTTATCCTTAGTATTCATTATTCTTACTTTCTGTCATTCTTTTTCTATATCTTCTCTTTCTTTTTTCTTATTTTTCTTATTTCCTATTCCACTATTCTTTTGTTCTTTTTCTTTTTTCACTTTTTTTTTAACTCTTTTTCCCTTATTTACTACCTTTATCCATTTTTACGTTTTTTTTTCTTTTTCAGCAACTCTTTCTAATTTTCCTTTTGATTCCTCTTTCTCTTTTTCTTTTTCACTTCATTTTTATTCTCCTGTCATCGTTTCCTTCTCTTGCCCCATTCTCTCTTTTATTTCCTCTCTTTATTTATCTCTCCTTTTTATTATTTCAGCTTCCATCGACTTCTTTCTCCTTTTTCAATAAAATCTCTCTCTCTCTCTCTCTCTCTCTCTTTTCTCTCTCTCTTTCTCTCTCTCTCTCTTTCTCTCTCTCTCTCTCTTATGTAGCTATTTCTGCTTCTCTTTTCTTTTCCTATCTCGACCCTTCTCTTTCTCTTCTCTATTTTTCTTCTGCTTGTTCTTTGTATATTTCTATTTTTCAACAGAGGTTACGATGGGATAAATCGACTCATAAAGAAAAGGAAAAGAAAGACATTGGATAATATCATATCTAAGGTTCATTATGTTACTCGAGGCGTATTTAAAACATTTTTTCTTATGTATTTAAAGTACATATCAACGTTCGGAAATTACCTTATTTGCACAAAAATTTCTTACAATCAGAAAATTATCGATATAACATCCCACAATGCTATTCTGTATAATTTACGATTTACATAACATCCGTTTACTGCTATATCTCAGGAAAACAATTATGCAAAGATTATAGTTTGCATATAATCCAGCGATCTGTTTCAATCAGGAGAATACAATGCTGTAGATGAAGATGAAGAATTTGTTCCTACATGTTTAAAGAAATGAACCAAACTATTCTCTGAGGATGAACTTAATGAGTTTAGTAAGAGGCCTCCAAAGATGCCTCAGAGATCTTGTTGTCCAAATTAAACAAAAAAAACAAAAACAAAGCTATTATATTCGACAACTTCTGAATTAAAGAAAAATATATTTCAACAAAGATGGCGCCTTGATTTTTTACTCTGTTGTAAGCAGACGAGTGCAGAAATTTGGCAAAGATTAAAATACAGAAGAATGGAACAATTTATAGATTCATATAAAAAACTTTGAAAGGTGGAAATATGACATAATAAAAAAATTCTAAATATATTTTTATAATCTTCATAAGTGCAGGAATAAATCACTAGTTAAAATGAAGTCTAAAAGAAAATATTTCTTCATAATTCCAATGGTGAGATGAACAGTTTCCATACAGGAAACATTTAGTTGACATTTATAAAAACCTTTTTCTGAAAAACGCCAGGTGAAACAAATACTCCAGTGACTACCACTGTTAAAATCAACATTTGGGTGCAATTCTCAGCAGAAGGAGTTGATAATTTGTACAAAACCAAGGGAATCCTGGACCAGCATCAATACCAAAAAATTCTTGTTAATTGTTATGGTCCAATATCCTCACACCACAGTTATGGTCCAAGGTTAGAACCAAGGAAGAACAACACGAACACAAGAGTAAAATAACAAAGATATATTACAACAGAAATATAGTACAAGAAGTTGAAGGTATTAGTAATGACTGTCCATCTGGTTTAGAGTGAACTAATATTGTCTCGACTCGTTACACCATTCATTCGGTATTTAGCCCCCCCCACGAGGGTTGCATGTGGCACAAGGCCAAGTTTAACGTGGGTTTACAGAGCCCGTATGCTCGGCCAAAAATATAGCCTTTGAACCCGCCTAGATGGGTTCAGGGCCTGTCTACCTCCCCGGACGAAACCCTGCCCTTCGGCAAAGCTTCGTCCGGGTTCCTCTCTGCCAAAGCAGAGAGTTCAACAGTCATGACCTGGTGCTGGTTACACCATTCATTATACCTCTTGAGATGCGCAGTATTTATAGTGTCAGGAAGAGTCCATTATCGTTATAAGTAAGTTCCTATAACATTAATCAAATGTGGCTTTCTGCTAAAAAAAACAACTTTTTACTCAAGGTCACCGCTTCACGTTCCAACACGATAAAGATCCTAGGTATACTGCCTTAAAGAATAAAGATCCTATGGTATACTGCCTTAAAGAATAAATGTTATCTTGATAGGAAGCGCGACGTGGGTAAATTGTAACTCTTCCAGTGGCCAGACCGTAACCCAATTGAAAAACTTTGGCCGATAATGGACAAGCGTGCCTGTAATAGAAAAGTTAACACAGAGGATGAGTTTTTCGTGAAGTAAAGGAATGATGAAAAAATCTGGCGAAGAACGTTGAGTTACTAAAGAATTTAGTTTATAGCATGGCACGAAGAACTAAGGCCGTTATTAAAGCAAAAGGTTACTCAACAAAATACTAAATCATTTTTTGACTTGTATCATGTACATGTGTACACCTTTATTAATGCCCTGTATTAATAAACGAATTCTATTACTCACTTGTCTTGGTAAAAATCGACTTTCCATGGATGCGTCCATTTTTTTCCTCGTACTGTATATATTAGATTTATGACTTTTTGTAAACTTATCTTTTCCTGAGTTATAAAT